ATTTATTACAAATATTAGATTTAACCTCATCTGTTATTAATTAATTTATAAAAAAATATTTATGTTGGGAAGTTTATATAATTATTATTTTACACTCATATAATTTATAATATATTATATTAATATGTAATTTTGTGAGAAATAAAATTATTTTAGTTTTCTTTCTCATGACTTGGTGGTACAACACGGGTTCTTCCTTTCGGTCGATCTCTTCTTCTTCTTTCTTGATCTCTTTATTTCTAATCTCTCTATAGTTTGTGATCGTCTCTCAACTTATCTCATTTTTTACTTTTTTTCGATTGTCATATATGAGGATCCTCTCCTCGTATCTAAATGATTTTATTGCCACTAAAGAGTGAAATCATCGAAATAAAGATATAGTGTTTGATGGAGTTTGTGATCGTCCAATGGAAGCTGAAAACAATTGATTTGATGAGCTCACAACCTCTAGGAAAGACAGTCTCTTTAGCACACAATTGCTCAATCTAGGTCATGTTTGGTTCTCAATTTTAAGTGGTTGTTCTGAAATGGGATTTAGTTAGCAATCAAGTTTTTCTTTCAACGGTTGACTACTTTCTAGATTGGGGGTTGAAACTAACATAAATACTAATAATTCAAAAAGACTTTTCAAATACTTCTAACTACATAAACGCTATAGCAATCAAATATGTACTTTTAGCAATATTCATGTCATCGTCATTCACTTAATTATAACTATCAATTTATAGGTATTCTATTTTACTGGTTGATATTTGAATGCAAGTTTGGATTAGTTCCTACCATTAGATGAGCTAATTTCCATAATAATGTTATAAATTATGATGTTGTGGAATGCTTCAAGTGAAATTAGAAGAGTAAAATTAAGAAAGTTCATTAACAACTTCCCTTGGTTGGGTTAATTGGTGTGGTCGGGTTCTAATTAGTTGCACATTTAAATTAATTAAGCTTAAGTGAATAATTGTTATGTTTGAGAGTAAATATAATGGGATGAATAAAACCTGATAAATACTGTATTATAAAAATCTATAATTTTAATACGTTTTTAAATGACACATGAGTTTCGAGGGCTAATACCAATAAGAGCAACATGACTTTGGAATTCCAAAGTTTAGTACAACCAATTTAAAATTTAAAAATGAAAAATTAATTAGAAAATTATGCTTATATTGCTGCACTACTACGCTCTCTAGTTGAGTATTAAACGTTAAATGTGATGTAATTGGACATGCACAAAAATGAAGGGAGTGGCCCAAACTCAATTGATAAGGTCAATTGGCTCAAGTCCATTGGTTCACTCACAACCTACAAGGTCGAACCGACCCCATCTTGTTAGGAAAAAACCATTTCGTGCTCCTTATCTATTATTAAATATGGAATTAGTTTAAAAGTCACTTCCTCCTCTATTATTTTCGAATAAAAAAGCATAAAAAAAAATATAAAAAAAGGAAAAGATAAGGTCAATAATATGGCAACCAATGAATAGTAATTGTAATTTGCAACGTTACGCAATCGACCGCAACGAACGGTCAATTCCATTTTAAAAAAAAATTAAAATAAAGAATAAAAAACGGGTTGAGAGATAAGAGTGATGACGTGCGAGAAAGCAGGGCCCACACACGTTCTGGCCACGTCAGAAACCGCGTAAAGAATCCACATGAAGAGCAATAGACGTGGAAGCAGACAAGTATATCTCCTGCCATTGGATATGTCAAAGAAGAATTTAAAAATGAAATGGGCAGTAAAAGAATAATAAAGAAAATGGTGGGGGTGGAAAGAAGAATAAGAGAAAAGTGAGGGGGGTAGGGAATAAAGGCAAAAATGATGACGTGAGTGGTTCCAAAATGCCGCCAAAGACAGCTAAGCCGGCCCCACCCTTGGGCGCCGAGCCGCCAGGTTTCCTTTTTTAGTGTGTTCTTAGATATTTATTTAAAAATTAATTAGAAGTCTATATTTAATAATCGATCCAATTTCCAATTCGTGGATAAAACGTCCTCCCATTATTGAATTTTTTTAATTCTATATTAAATAAATAATTAATTTTATAACTTTGTATTATTTTCTTAAAATATAAAATAAACCCATAAAATTAAAAATTTAAAGATGGGTTAATATGCATAATCTCAAAGAAAATTATTAAAATAAGATACCAACCAAGCCCAAACTAATTAAAAATATTGTGTTTAACGGTTAGACCTATATTCGAATGAAGTTCTTTCGAGATATACACCTGGGTAAGCTGATTTCATATATATTTTATAAATAGTGTTTTAGAAGATATATTCTTTGTAACGCCACGTGCTTGAAATCATTTATTTAAATTCCTAGCCGTCATGATGCTTACCATCTTGGTGTTACTATGTCTATTTCTTTTTGTATTTTATCTCTCTTGTTCTTCGTGCTATTTTTATATAGGATTGAGGGTGAGTTGTGTTATCCTAACCATTGATATCAGAGTTATGAGAGATTCATCCCAATCTATGAAGATGGAAACTCGAAGATTAGAATCGAGAAGTTTGATGGATCCGATTTTGATTTTTGGAAGATGATAATGGAAGATTATCTCTATTAGAAAGATCATGAACCCTTATCCAGGGTGAAGCCAGATTCCATGACCACGAAGCAATGAAAGTTCAAAGATCGGCAAGCTCTAGGGTTGATTCAGTTGATGTTGCCTAGAAATGTGGTGTTAACATCATCAAGAAGAAAGACAACATTGGATTTGTTGAAGGCAGTGTGGATTTGTTCAAAAAAAAAAAAAAAGTCAACTATGAACAAGGTATATTTGATGCATAGATTGTTCAATTTATAGATGTTTGAGGTGGATTTGTTACCGATCATATAAATAAATTCAATATGATTGTAAGTCAATTGAGCGACATGAAAATTAATTTTGACAATAGAATTAAAACATTAATTTTGATGTCATATTTACCCAAGTCTTAAGATATTGTTGTTGGTGCGACCAGTAGTTCCCAAAGATCTAAGAAACTGCAGTTTAATAAATTTGAGATGATTTTTTAGCAAAAACATTCGCAAACGAGAAATTAAGTAGTACGCTTACTCTCTTGATCAAAGGAGAAGAGGAAAATAGAAGGGCCCAAACAAATATGGTCCATATACATGTTTGGAGATCATTTTCAATTTTATAAACATAAATCAGTTAGATCCACAAAGGTTGCTAAAGAACGGAAGAAAGTACAGTTGAAAATGGTGCATACATATGCTTGGGAACCATCTTCAGTTTCATCATTTGGTGTATCTAAGTCATACGTCATCTTTATTAATGATTTAAGCATGAAGGTATGAGTTTATTTCTTGAAACACAAATCAAACGCTTCTGTTACTTTCGAGAGGTGGAAACCTAAAGTTGAACATCTGATCGATTTGAAGATCAACTGTCTAAGGTATGACAATCGAAAAGAATATGACAAATCAAAATTTAAAACATTATGTTCAATGAGGGAGTAAGATTAATGAAGATAGTTCTCAATAAGGAAAGACAAAATGATGTTGTTGAAAGAGTGAACAAAATATTGAAGGAGCAGATAAGAAGTATGAGGATTGATTATAAGTTGCCAAAGATATTCTAGCACGATGCTGTGAATACAATAGTTCATCTAGTCAATAAAGAGTTGCAAGAACTCTTGGGGTTCAAGATGTTAGAAGAAGTATGTATAGTAAAAGAGCTCAAGTACTTTCCCTCGAGAACCTTTGGTTGCATTGTATATGTTCATGTTGATCCAAAGAAAAGAGACAAGCTTGATGTTAAGGTTGTCAAGTGCTATTTCATAGGTTATGGTTCTAACATATTTTTGGATGACAAGAACATAAAAAAAAAAACTGGAGATATTATGATGTGAAATTTTGATGAAAATGTCACTTACAAATCGTGTTAAATTGTTAAATGGGGAATCTCCAAAAAAAAAAAGCTAAGTGTGAGAAAATAACATTAGTTCCATATGTTTATAATGTTGAGAGCTTAATCTATACATTATAGATGGAACAACGGTGAGTTGGATGTCCAAGCTTCATTTATTGAGGATGAGTACATGACAATAGCAAATTATCTTAAAGAGCTAGAAGATTTTTTTATACAAATAGTCAAAATGCCATACAGTTGGTAAAGAACCTAGTCTATCATTCAAAGATAAAACACATTAGAAGATGATACCACCCCTCATGGGTTGGTGGAAGAAGGTGATACGTGTTTGGAGAAGATAGAAGATGGAAAAGAGGATATGAATGACAGATTATCGAGAAGAGTTAAGTAAGAAGCAACCTAAAAAGATTTTTTTATACAAATAGTCAAAGTTTCATATGGTTGGTGAGGAACGCAATCATTATTCAAAGATAAAACACATTAAAAGATAATACCACTTCACTTGTAGGTTAGTGGAAGAAGGTGATATGTGTTTGGAGAAGATAGACGGTGCAAAAAATCCAGCAAACACATTGACAAACTATGTTGATGTTGGAAAATTGAGATTGTTCAAAACCTTTGCTAGTCTTTTGTAGCTCATATAGATGTTGCATTGCCCTCGAGGTATTGATGATGAGGAGAATCTTTCTAGAATAAAATTACTACACGATCCTACCTCAAATCTAAAAATTGTTAGGTTTTTGTATTCACTCAATGACTATATATAGTGAATTAAACTATATATATTTTCAAAATAAACTGTTTTTGGAGATGTATTCTTAATAATTGTACATGTTTGCCATCTTCTAGTTGTCTGAGAGTTTCCTTCTAACCTCGCTATCTCATTCTTCATGTTCTTAGGATTGAGATATTTAATTATTCAAGATATGGTAGATGTTTTAGCAAATGATTGCGATGCCAGATACTAGTCTGAAGTGAGAAGTGACCCGAGGAAGAAAAATAAGGATGGGTGGAAGTTGATGCCCTGTCATTCTTGTGTACTCAGATTGCTTCAATGGCCAATATTTTTATAAATATGTATATAGCAAACGGATGATTAGTGTAGATCAAATTATAGTAGTTTGAAATGATCCTTAGTGTCTTATTCACTCTACTATTGACCGACTATATAACATAAGTCGTTGGAAGCATGAAACTTATATATTTTCTCCACTATAGCACGTACTATGCAAAAACACTAGCAACGACTACTCAACATCAATGAAACTAAACCGGGTTCACAAGTTGAACTTCATCCACCTTAGAGCTATCCACAACCTTCCTTTGAACCTCCAAAGGCTTAAAAGTATACATCTTGGCACAAACTACGTAATAAACAAGATTAAAAACCTGCAAAAGGGTAACTAACCAATAGAAGTTTTCCAACTTCCCCTTATTAATATTATCATTCCTCAGCCAATTGTACCCATTGGGGCCAGCGGTGTACTTATGCACCAACGTAACCAAAAGGGTGCTCAAATAATTCCCAGCCGAAATGGATGTCCAAAACAGAGCCATAGCAGTGCTCCTCATGCTCTCAGGGGACTGATCATAGAAGAACTCGAGATGGCCAATGGACATGAAAGCCTCGGCCATGCCATGGAGGCTGTATTGGGGGACAAGCCAGAAGATGGAAATGGGGATGGTGGAGGAGGGGTGATCTTGAAGGCCGTGAATAAAGGCCACATGCTTGCGCTTTCTCTCAACGAAGCCAGCTACCAATGTGGCGAAGATTGAGATTACAAGACCGATGCCCATGCGCTTGAGGAAGGTAATGCCGCGGTCGAGGCCTGTGAAGCGGCGGGCGATGGGGATGAAGATGCGGTCGTATAAGGCGATGGTTATGAGCATTGTGAGAAGAGTGAAAACGCTCATAGAGCCGGCTGGGATTTTGAAGGAATCTGTGAGTCTTCTGTCCATGGTTGTGCCCTGTTGGAGTGAAAACGTGTACTGTTGGGAATAGGCTGTGATTAGGATGATTCCAGAGGCCCAAATTGGACCCATTCGGATTACGGATTTCAGCTCTTCCACTCGGTGGACTGTGTTTAGATTCCAAAGATTGGGTTTTTCCCCCACTTTCACCTTGTCTTGTTCTGTCACTATGGCTGCTTTGTCCAGAAATCTGCATCGTTTTTCACATGTTAATCTACAGAATTAACCCATATGATTGTTATAGAGAAAAACAAGAATTACCGCATATGATTGGTATGGAGAAGCTTGCCATCGCGAGAAATTGGGTCATCAATGTCATGATTTTGATAAAGCAAGGTGGAATTAGGAACCATTTCGAGTTTCCTTTTCCTAAACGCTGCAACGCTCACTTGGAGCAGCCGTGTAAAGGGGCTGCCAGAGGGGTCCAAGTGCCTGTAAATCGAGTACCCCAAAACGAACGTGATAATGGAAAGGAACATAGCGATGGTGGGAATTCCAAATCCCCAACCCCACCCTATGTTGTCCTGCACGTACACCAGCACCGTCACCGCCACCAGCATCGAAGCCCCCATCGCGAAATAATACCAGTTGAAGTATTTGTACGTCTTCTTCCCTTGCTTTGGATCCGACTCATCGAACTGGTCTGCCCCAAACGACACCACGCACGGCCGGATCCCCCCTGACCCCAGCGCCGTTAGCAGCAGAGAAAAGTATAGTATTCCCAACTGCTTGCCGCTGGCTTCTTCGCAGATTTCTCCGCCCTTGCACGGCGGCGGCCTCAGTCCAGGCACCACCGCCGACGTCGTCAGGCTTATCATTCCCTACACCCACAAACATTATCTTAGTTTCGCTAGACATAATTGTAACTAATAAAGCAGAGTATTAATGCTCAACAAAACTATTCACTTCTAATTGAGTTGAAATTAAAAAAATGGAATATTTTGATTAATTTTCACTAAAAATTGACAATTGTTTTTTTAAATTTCCTATGTCTATAAATTTTGTCAAAAGAAAATTAATAATAGACCACAAAAATGATATGGGTTTGTAAGAAGAAAAACAGAGTAAAATATGGAGTGGAAACAGAGGAGTTACAATCTGGTAGAGGATAGAGGCGACAGTGATGGTCCAGAAGCGGCCGACGTATGAGTCGGCGATGAAGGCTCCGATGAGGGGCGTCAAGCTGGCGGTTCCATTGAAGTTGGTGATGGTATTGGCTCCTTTGGTTAATGGCATATGGAGCTGCTTGGTCAAGTAGCTTATCATGTTGGTATTAAAACCAACCACAGCAATCTTCTCGCAGATCTCATTAGCTAATTCACCGTAAAAAACCCACAAAAGCCAAAATCAAAATCCCCACTTTAAACAGAAATTAATTAATCGAAGAGGAAGAAGAAGAAGAAGAGTACCGAAGATGAAGGGCATAGTAATAAGGCCGCCCTTCTTCCTTTCCACATGGTTTCTAGTGCTTTGCTGCTCCTCCATTGTTGGGTTCTTCCTCGAAGGCGTTTGGGCAGTGGTGGTGGAAATGGCTTATGGGGAGCTCTCCCTGTTTATAGGCACCTCATCGTTATCACAACATTTTACACTCTTCACAAATCTTCAGAACAGAGATGAATACAAATTTTGCAGCTCCTGTGACTAATTCTGGCCACAAGTATTTCGGGAATTTTCTTCAATTTATTTATTTATTTATTATTTTTTAAAAGAAATGAAATAAATGTGTGTTAGTTAAATGGCTCGTTATGTATGATTGCTTACAAGTTACAGCATTAATAGGAAGATTACCTAAAGCGAAAAGTGAAACCAGTGAGTTCACCTACTACGTATGTTTTAGAAAGGGAGAGAAGCGGTGGCCGGGGACTCTTAGATAAGAAACGGCAGCCGGTGGCGGTGTTGGGCGTTCAAATTTGTTAGTATTATTATTGTTGTGCATGATTGATGGGACAAAAATGATTCCGTCTTCATTTCCTTTTTATCTCTTTCTTATTAATCCATTATTATTATATTTTGGTTCAATTAAAAAGAATATTCTTTATTCTTAAAAAATTTGATACGTACGCTTTCGTTCAAATGAAAACTTGTAAAGATGGACAAAAAGTAACACGTGACTTGAGTCAATAAGTGACCCCAGCTGTAGGTGTCACTGGGGTGACGCTGCTGCATACGTCTAAATTACAGATCTCTTGCGAACTAGACTCCGCTACATTCTCTTCCACGTCCTCTAGATGGCATGATCTATAGCCAACACATGATTTACAAAGTCTTCAACGGTTAAACATACCATACATATCATAGCTTAGGATTCTCAACATCATGGTTATGTTAATCGTTCCTCACTTCTAAGAGTGAAAAACTATGCTCACAAACTAACACAAATTATTCCAACATGTTCTATCTTCACTTACAATATAAAATTACTCCAAGTAAAGCACGCTTAACCATAAAGTTCCTATAATTGAGCCACCGAAAAGGAAAGGTACACATTGTTGGTATAGACAATAACTTTTATTTAAGTATTTATTAGTGATTCTATTCTTGGGAGCGCTCTCATTCAGATGTGGTTTACCCCTCCTTTAATCGAGTATCACAACATACATAAGGTCCTACATCTAGAATCATGGTACAATGTAATAATGCACGTAGTACTCCATACTTTTTAAGTTTTTATTTTTTTCCTCCATAGTGTTTGATATATTATTTATTTAAAATATATAAACTATACGTAGAAATTTTGGCAAAATATTGGAGAGTTAATGACTTCCCCACAAGAATACAAAAATCTAATAATTTAATGGGTTAAATTCAACCTCACAATGAATCAATAAGTAAATAAAAAAAATATTTAAATTTAAAAGTATAAATCCTTTTCTGACTCATAAATTTGTGGGGTTCTTTTGGAAATTTCAAATTCATTTTTCAAACATGTCATAATGAACAAATGATCATTCATCCATCCCTTTTAATCATGTTTGAAACTTGAAAGCGACACACCACTTAATTAGTTTTAATTAACCTTGTTTAAATGCAAATGTTATAGTAATAACTTATCCTTTTTGTTCTCTTGTTTAATGTCCCTCTCAATTTTTAGATAATCATGTGATCAATTAATGTAGGATTCGTTTAGGGAAGATTTTGAGTTTTAATTTTCTATTTTTGAAAATTATATTTGTTTTATTTGGATTTTTCTATTATCATTTTCTCATTTCTAATAGAAATATTTGAACTTCTAGTCAATGAACGATTTATTGCACGATGCATATGATTTTTCAATTTTCACTTTTCACGTCAGTTGTGGTTATTTTACATTGATTGATTTAGGAAAATGAGTTTTTTTTTTTTTTTTTTTTTTTTTTTTTTTTTTTTTTTTTTTTTTTTTTTTTTTTTTTT